TTTTTTTTTTTTGGCAGATAAGAAAGTAATTTATAAAGATTAAGAAAGTAAAAATAATTTTATTACAAAAATCCAGATCTGGCCTTAAAATAGATTTGATTAAGGTTGGGATTAGAATTAAATTAAATTAAAATTTATTATTTAAAATTAAAAATATATAAAATATTAAAATATATAAAATTTAAAATAAATTATTAAAATAATAAATGTAAATGTAATACAATAACTAAATCGAATGAACAGCAAAAGAAATAAGCCAGAACACGATAACTCATTCGACGAGGAGGAAGCCTTCAAAAGAAGCAAAGCCACGTTAAGAACATCTCCAAAGGATAACATAAAAAATCGCGAAATGGAAGAACTAAAGAAACTACTAGAAGAAATAAATAAGGAGATTAAAACGGAAATAAAAGCGCTGAAAACAGAAATGAAGGAAGAAAATAAGGAGATGAGAAGATATATAAATGAAGTTAAAGAAGAGATAAAACAAAATAACGAAGAAATAAAAATCATAAAACTGGAAATAGAAAGGGTGAAGGAAGAATGGACAAAAGAGAAAGAAGAACTGAAAAGAGAAAACGAACTAACCAAAACCGATAACAAAAAGATACCGGAAGCATTAAATGATCTAAAACGCTCATTAGAAAGGTTAGACAAAGAAAAAAGAATATAATCATCAGTGGATCAAAAATAGACTCTGAAGACCCAAAAACATTGAAAGAGGGAATGACTACTATATTAGAAAATCATCTTGGAGTCAAAACCAATATTAAAAGAGCACAAAAAATAGGAACAAAAACATGGTTAATTGAACTTGAAAGCGAAGAAGAAGAAACAACAATCTTAAGAAACAAATACAAACTTAAGAATGTGAAGATCGAAAAAATATGGATTACAGAGGATCTCACAAAAGGAGAGAGAGAGAAAATGGAAGCTTTAAGAGATAAAGCAGGAGAAATGAGGGAAAATGGAAAAATGGTCAAAATAGGATACAATAAAATCACAGTGGACGGCAAGAAATGGAGATGGTGCTATAAAGAAGAAAAGGTGTTGGAAATAGCGTGAGACACCAAGGAAGGAGACGCCAAGCAACGAGTAGAGAAAGAAGAATTACTAAATAAACCGGACAATGATGACAAATGTTTAGTTTTAAGTAGTAATAGAAATAGGATTAGAAATAATAAAAATAGATTATAAATCAATTTTAAACCAAACCCCGGAAGTATCGCTAATAGAGACGCTTTCACAAATCTGAAGATATACCTGAACCAATAGTGTCATGAAATCCTTAAACTCTGGACTTGCTATAAATACCTTGAAGATAGTTTCTATCACAGAACTTTGTTTAAAACCAAATGGCAACCTAGAACCAGAAAAATAATATTCTCCGCAAACTTGTCAGCTCAAAATAGGAAGCACATTCTTCCACCCTTAAAACGTAGACTTAAACTCTATGCTTATGCTGCCGAATATACCTTGCTATTATGGGTGACAAAAACACATACTTAACACGTAAGTATATTTAGCTTTAAATTAGTCAGTCATCAGATCATCACATCTGCAAGATATACAAAAAAATATAAGCTACTCCTCCCCATCTGAACCCTCGAAAGGAACTTCCTTATGGTTGTTATCTTCCTTAAATTTACCTGGAGGACTCTTGCCTGCAAACACCGATTAACCTGTGTGAATGTGGGGTGGTATAAGATTCATCACACTTTCTTAGTTGACTTTTCCATTTAAATCGCTCTTTTCTGAAGGGACAAGGTTTATTTATTTGAACTAAACATGTTAAGTATAGCCAGTAAGCTTTTACTTATAAAGATCATTGCAAATTTGAAACTAACTCCACTTATATTGATAACATATTACCCCTAAATAGAAAATAAAACATTCAGAAGTATGTAATATTGGAGAAGTGGTATAATGCTTGTTAGATAAATTCTTTCTTTTTTTGTGCACTACTACCCATTTTTACACAAAAATATCTATTTTAGCACTTAAATATTTATTTTGAGATAACCTTTTATCCAAACTTATATGTAGTACATAGATAAAACCAGAAATAAAATAATAAACAAGCTGTATACAAGATATCATAAAACAATGGATGAAATAAAAGAAGTTCTTATTAATCGGATTCTTAAATAAAACTTATGAAGACATATTCACGTTAACAAAATACATTAGGAAATTTCCGCATGTGAAACAAAATCCAATTTGGTAATGAAATCCTTTTGTATCTATAAAGCTATTTTTAGAGAACTCGTACCTACCAAAAACAGGTAGTTAATAGTATACATATCTGTTACACACTGTAATGCGTATGAATGATAACAAAACTAAGGAGTCCATATAAACCGTCCAGACTTTACGCAAGAATTATACATCTTATAGCAGAGTTGCCAAACTATCAGAGCTTACTTAAACCGATATACTTATGGTTCCAATATACAGTGAAAAAGATCTGAACGACCCCTATAATATATACACGTGAACTAAGGGATATACATTTATGATACAGGGATAATTATGGGCTCCAAAATTTTTTTAAAAATTATGAAACTATACATGTTGACGAATCGACAGAGCCAATATTATGGAATGGTCAAGTGAGCTCCGTATATCGGTGTCCACTTGACCACGGAGCTCACCTGAACCTGAATTTTAACATGGGCGGAGTCCACTTTATGCCGTAAATATATATATATATATATATATATATATATATATATATATATATATATATATATATATATATATATATATATATATATATATATACCAAAGTATTATGTTCGAGAATATTCGGGAGTAGTCCCACCTCTAATTCGTTATTTGACGGGTGGAATTTTACAGCGCTCGATATATCGCCGAAACTTCTCGGTGCTTCGAGATGCGACCGTTAGGCGGGCCACGCTGAATGCATGTTCGTAACACTGCTCCCCTCTTAGATCTGAGCGTCCCGATCAGGAACTCTATCTATAGGCCCAGGATGGCGGAATCTATAGGACTCTCCAGCTCTGCATGAACCCCTCAGAAAGAAATACCAGTCTACTGTCTTTGAAGAACACGATCTCTTCGGATTAGTGCAACACACAGTAATTCTTATACCGGTTTCTCGGAAGATCACTTCAAGCATGCTTCTGACAATCTTCCAATGCAGATTATCTAGTGCATGGCCTATCTTGGGTAAGACCAAATTCTTGATGTCGTAATTGCGGACGATATTCTTCAAATTAGTTAGAGCACGCCATATATCCTCGTAGGTTGCCCTGTCTGTATACGAATTCCTGGTCACCATATACAGCAAAGATCGAGAACCTCCTTCTAATCTCAGTACTTGTCCAATTTTAGGCTGCTGGTTTTTTAACCCGTCCAAACGACCGAATTTCTTATAAAATACAGATGAGATTCCTTTAGTCATCTCCAGATCTTGGGCAACACAGTGGGCTAGAGTGACGTTATGTGGAACACTAAAAAGGTCCTGCTGTACTTCTGTCGTCACGCCGAATCTAGCGCTCTTTCTCTCTGCGTAATTTGACATAAACTCATTAAAGCTTGGTCGCCGGTCATCTTTGATCTCATGTTGAAGGGTTCGGGCTTCTTCTGTTTCATTTGTTACCTTTCGGCAACTTCTTAATTCGGTATATTACGTTATTTATTCTCTTTTTAATTTCATACGGACCATCCCATTGTCTTTGCAGTTTAGGAGACAAGCCACGACGACGTCGTAGATTATAAAGCCAAACAAGATCACTTACTTCATAGCTTTCATTCTTGCATCGAGAATCGTATTGATCTTTCATTCTGTCACTGGCTAACTGGATGTGTTGTCGGGCAAGTTCTTGAATGTTGTTCATTCCTAACTTTGGGCGGTCGACATAATCTTCGCTTGCAACATGTTCTTCGGAAGGTCTGCAGCCAAACTCTAGGTCGCAGAGCAAACGAACTTCACGACCTAACATCAGTCAGGTTGGAGTCTGGTCTGTAGTTTCATTCACGGCCGAACGGTAGGCCATTAAGAATAAATGAATGTGTTCGTCGTTGGTCCCAATCTCTTTGATGTTCTGATACAACTTTGGACAGGTGTTTACCCATCGTTCGGTTCATCCTCTCGACCATTCCATCTGATTGAGGATGCAGGGGTGTCGTTCTGGTCTTATTGACAACAATCAATTTACAAACGTTTTGGAAAATGGTTGACTCGAAGTTTCGTTCTTCGGAGATCTTCAAGGATCGGCTAAAGAATTCTCTAACAAGTACTTCTGCAACGGTAGCAGCCTCTTGATTTGGTATCGCATAGGCAGTCCATTTCATAAAATAAGCCATGGCTACCAGAATATAATTATTTCAGAACATTCTTAAGTCGTTCTTGGAGGATTTTCTTGGACCCGCTGCAGTCTTCATCCCATTATTCTAGTTGCTCTAGAAACGCAACTGTTTTACTGAAAGTTCTGCAAGCCGCATCTTTGGTCAGGCACACACGTACTTTTTTAAATGTTCTTTTTTTTTCAAATGTTCAAAAGTCTTTTTTTAAAGTCACTGCTGAATTTATTTTAAAATCTCACACCGGACACCACTGTACCGTTTTTAAATAAAATGAGCGGTTCTAATTTATATAAATATATTTATTTATAAGTTTACAGTACGGTAGTATCTTAATAACTAAACTAAACTCATAGTAGCTTTCATATTTATATACCAAAAGTATTATTCTAGAATCATCTGGAGTAGTCCATCTCTAAACAACTTCTAGAGCTGTTTATTTTTACCTTAAAGTATATACCTTTTAACAACTTTTCCGAAATTTTGAAAGAAAAAAATATATGTTTTTGAGATATGATTTTTTTAAGAAAAACTGGGTTTTTCGAAATGTCCAAATTTTCCTTGAGAGTTAGGCTAATTTTAATACGGGGATCGTGTTCAGCGGTAAATTGTACATCGAAAATGTATTTTTGTTCGAAAGTATATTTAGTTTTCTTCTTTTTTGTTTTCAGGTATTACCTAGATCCGGTAAACGTAACTGTAAATATCAAGCCAACTGAAGAAACAAAAACACCAAAAGTCAACGGAATTCAAATTCAGCCTAAACAGAAACAACGCTCAGAGATCAGCAGGAACAGCTCAGTGGACAACAATAATCTAATAAATAACATAAATAATAATAATAGCTCCAATATGAACGGATTTGTAGCCGATTTCGACAAAGCAGACATCTTCATTGGCGGCAGTACCACGACATTAAATGGTAGTTCCACTAGCTTAAATGGCCCTACAACGAGATTACAGCCACCACAGAACAGTTTTGCCAATTTCGATAATAATCCAGTGTTTAACAACCTAAATGTTTTAGCAAACTCGTCAACAGGTAAGAAATATTATTTATTGCTTTAGTATTTTAAATTAAATTAAATTCTTTATTTTCTTTTTGACAAACATAGTTTGTATAGAATTAGTCATAAATATACATTGCTACAAATTAAACACTAAACAAGACATGAAATAATTTTAAAAGCTAAACGAAATACAGCTAATATCTAAGATCTAAAAAATTCTTCGATTGTATAAAACACTTTTTCACATAAAAATTGCTTAAGATTCCTCTTAAATACATTTATTGAACTGGTGGACTTTACAACTGTGGGCAAATGATTAAACACCTGTAGCCCGTATACCCTGGGCGATTTAAATTTAATGTTACCTTTTGAAAATGGTATATAAAGTTTATTACAATATCTAGTATTTAAATTATGCATATCACCACTCGTTTTAAACTGATGTAAGTTATTAAAAATAAAAACACATAATTCAAAAATGTATAGACACGACAATGTTAAAATTTTATATTTTTTAAAATATTCTCTACAACTAGTTAGTCGGGAGACGCCAGCGACACAACCCAATATTTTCTTTTGTATGACGAAAATACCATTTGCATAACCAGACATACCCCAAAAACATATCCCGTATCTTAGCCTGGACTCTACGAGTGCGTAATAAATCATAATTAGCTGATTTTCCGTCATAACATATTTTAAATTTCTAATTAGATAGTTAATTGAACTCAACTTCGAAACAACCGCTCCACAATGCAACTTCCAATCCAAACTTTCGTCAATCGTTATTCCCAAAAACTTGCCTGACGACACGGTACCTATTTGCATGTTGTTAAAAGTAAGCTGAAGATTTTCCAAGTATTTTTGTTTGTTGTGAAAATGTATAACTTGCGTTTTTTCTGCATTTAGATGCAACGAGTTCTCGCAAAACCAAGAATATAAAGATGAAAGAAAATTATTACATTGATGTTGTAGGATTACGTTGGATTTGTTAGATAGAATAATTGACGTATCATCCGCATATATAGTGAAATTTACCGCTCTGTCCACTTGTACGATGTCGTTAATGTAGACTACAAAGAGAATTGGTCCTATTATAGATCCTTGGGGAACACCCATGTTTGTAGTAACAAGACTAGATCTACAACTGGTCACACAATCCTCGATCCTTGTCTGAAGGCTCACATATTGTTGTCTATTGTTTAAAAACGACATAATCCACTTTAAAGAGTTTCCTGCAATACGTATCTGTTTTAGTTTTTTAAATAATATTTCATGGTTTACGCAGTCAAATGCCCTACTAAGATCACAAAATATTCCAATAGGATATTCGCCTGCATCAATCAGACTGGTTAAATGAGCATAAAATGCATGGACTGCCGTATTAGTAGATTTATTTTCTTGAAATCCATGTTGATTTATAGTTATGATATTATTGTTTTTTAGATAACCATTTAATCTCTTTAATTATCCATACTCAAATATCTTTGAAAATATACTGGGAATTATTATAGGCCTATAATTGCTAACCAGTTTTGGATCTCCTTTTTTAAAAATGGGAACTACTTTGCCTGTATTTAAGTAATTAGGAAAATCCCCATTGCAAAAAGACAAATTGGTTAGATAAGTTAAAGGATTGATTATAAAAGATAAAACTTTTTTCACCAAAAATGCAGGTATCTCGTCAAAACCACTAGAGGATTTGTTTTTAAGTTTACTCTGGAGGAGTTCGATCAGTTCCTGCCCAGTAAATGGGTACAATTGAAAGAAATTTTCATGATCTGTAATAATTGACTGACTGTCTTTGTCTACTGTATTACCTGGAATTTTCGACACGATATCAATGGGTGCATTTTAAAAAATGTGTTAAAAGTGCATGCTACCTCTTGGGGATCTGTTATTATATTATTGTCATCATATATTAAAAAAGTATTAGCATTGTTATTAGCACTTTTTGAGAAATCATTGACAACTTTCCACGTGATTTTATTGGGATTATCAGACGAAGTAATGATTTTCTGGTAATAATCTTTTCTTGTTTTGGTTAAAAGTTTTCTATGTTTTTTCCTTTGTTGTTGATAAAAATCTCTAAGAATTGGTACTGCCCTTGATAACACATGCTTCACGTTTGAACGGATGTAACGACAGGAATACATTGGAAAGAGTAATATTAATTTCTTCTTCTTCTTGTAGTTCCTTCTCCTATTGTAGATTGGTTATCATCACAACTATCCGTACCTTATTGGCGGCTGCTCTGAAAAGATCCACTGAGCTGCAACTATATCACTCTCTTAGGTTTCTTAGCCAGTAAATTCTTCCTATGGATCTTTTACCCTTGATTTTACCTTGCATTATGAGCCTTAATATCTCATATTTCGCACCTCTGGTAATGTGGCCTAAATATTTCAGCTTTCTTATTTTAATGTGCTTTATCACCTCGCCATCCTTTTGTAGCTTTCTTAACAGTTTTGTATTTGTAACTCGTTGGGTCCATGTTATTTTCAAAATCCTTCTATAGCACCACATCTCAAATGATTCCAACTTCTTTATATTATCCACTTTTAGTGTCCAGCTTTTCCATTCCATCCAACAAAGCCGAAAATACGTAGCATCTTAACCCATTAGTGCCCAGATTATTTTTTACCAGTTTTTAATGTGATGCTAATATTTTTTTGGGAGCAGTTTGATTAAAAAGCATAAAAATAAATGAATTTGTGCATTTGGATTTATAGATCACTCAATATATGATGTTACATATATGTAACGCTAGGAGCTAATGGGTGCAAAAAATACAAAATATAACTGCAAACAGTTTTATTTATTTAAATACGGAAAATAAAGAAAATGGAATTTAAACATTTTGGTTTGTATGATAGGTAACGAAACAATCGATACAAAGACCTACGTTACATTTCCTACAGTGCCTTTGGGCGGTGACGAATATTTCTTCAAATAAACTTTCACGATAGCCCTTCGAAAATCTATTTGGGACATCTGAGAGTTGTTTGATTTTCGATACAAACACCACGCGGTATTGACTGAAACATCAAGAAAAGATGAGACACCATGAAAACAATGCCCAGTACCATTTCCTGTTTCTAATTTGAATCCTGTACTGTCCAACGTTCTGATCCATTCGATCAGTACCACCCATTTTTTTGTTATATGCTGCAAATACTGCTGGTCTGCTAACTTGTATGTGTTTTTTTCTTTATGTGAATAACGTCTAACATTTGTTATTGGATTGATACCATATTTATTGGAAGCAATGCAAACTACGGAATTATCGGCCCACTTAGCTACTAGTACAGCATCTGTCTTACTAATAGCACTTTCATAATATCCTCTTTCCTGTTTGTGAAGATCTTTTTTGGCCAATAAAGGGCAGCTCCTAGGTAAACGATTTTCTCTTATAGTCCCCGTGCCTCCGTATCCTTTTAAACGTAAATAAGACAATAAACTGAATGTAGTAAATAAATTGTCAAAGTAAAATGAGAATGGAAAAGATTTCAGATTATCAGGTAGTTCTTCTATCATTTTCACCAGTGGTGCTGCCGCTTTTCCAAAGTTTCTTTCTATGTCAATATTAGGAGTTACAGATTTTCCTTGATATTTCCTGTACCAAAAATAAAATGATTTCTTCATCTATGAACATTTCGAATATATGTACAACTAATTTGTTTTCAAACAGTGAATAATCTGACTCAGAAAATTGTCTCTCGTTATATGTGAAATCTCCCGAAACCCAATCCCGGGCTGCAGAAACTTTTGGATAAACCATATGAGCAGGTGTAATATCGATATCATTATTTGTCAAAGAAATGTTACCTTCTGTCGATTCTGGCGGTTGAATAGAATCATCTTCTCCCAGTATAATTCCATTAGTAGTCCTAACTTCTGCATCGGCAAGTAGCTGACGTTTGCTCAAATTGTCCAAATCTCCGCCCTCGTCCTCATCTCCGGAATCCTCATCCGTCAGAGTAGCCGGATCCGGTGGCGCTGTATAAACTGCCTCTATAGAGTCATCTATCCCGTCGTATTCTCCAAAGGCTATATCGATAGCTTCTTGAATAGTCAGGCCTCTTTGAAGAACTGCAGCAAGGCCTCTGAAATAAAAAAAAACAACTTAGTAGGTACATACTGCATTTTTAAATTTCCTGAAGTCCTATAAACACTCTGTATACTAATATTTCGAAAAATATTATTAAAAATACCATAAAATGAAAACAAAATACGTAGTACATCCGTACAAAATAACTGTAAAATATGCTTACATTACATCCTAGCGTTACAAATATGTAACAGTCAACTTCCTAACCTAGCAACTTTTTTATTTGAAAAAATATCAAAGCTTTTTACACAAAAAATATGTATTTATATTTACTTTTACTATTTGTTTTCTAATATTAACGTTATTATACAAAATGAGATTTATATACTTACTCTTTATCGACGAAGTCCATTATTTGAAGCTTTATTTGTTTAGTTATACTTTATCGAGGCACAAACTCAAAACAAAGTTCTAATAAAATAGCACACTTCAAACGATGTAAACAGTATAACCTTCTGACAAGAACTGACCTGTTTTCGACTGAAAATTTGCGACGTATGCAACAGAGGATCTATTTAGATGGCACCACTTTGCCGTTACATAATTGTAACGCTAGGCACTAATGGGTTAAGGCTCTTATCCTCAGCTCCAGAGGAAGGTCTCGATTAACAAACATTGTTTTCATTTTTATAAATGCTTGTCTTGCAATTTCAATGCGTGTTCTTATTTCTCTACTTTGATCATTGTTTTCATTTACGCAGGTTCCCAGATATTTGTAGTTATTCCCAGATATTTGTAGTTATTCACTCTTTCTACTTGTTTTCCCTCAATATCTAGCCTTCCTACTGTATGTTGCTTAGAAATAATCATGCATTTGGTTTTCTTAACGTTCATTTGTAGTCCATATTTTATACTGACTTGTCCTGAAAGGCCTAGTCTTTTACATGATCTTTTCCTTCCCTGTCGGATCTTGGTTTCCGG